CAGTGACCTAGTTCTATCACTCACGGCTTCATGAATTACATCTTTAAACTTCAGAATGCTTTCCTGGCTCTTTCTGTCATGACCAAATATTTTCCATCTAAAAACATCTTAAAAATCAGAACAGCAATCAATTTTATTCTCCATTTGTTTTTAGTTTTATCCTCTCTACTCTTCAACACCAAATCTGTTAAGTTTCTGGCACTTGTTGCATTTACTTTTGTACAGGATAATCACTGTCTCTACCTTTCCCCTTTATACCATCTCATCAAATTGATGAGTGAGCTCTATGTAACTAAATCCAGTAATGTCTTTTAAGGATTTTTCTTACTGGAGCATCCTCTCTTGAGATACATCCTTGCTTTGGCTTCATTTGAAACCTCATAATCTTGGTTTTCCTTCCATGCTTATAGTTGTCTTCCCAATCTTCATTTTAGGTGCCTTTTCCTGCCCATTTTATACTATTTAAGGATCTGCCTACACCCTTCATTCTAAGAACATTCTCTGGATGACATGACTTAATTCCATGGCAATAACTCTAAAATTCATCTCTAGCTAAGAGCTGTCTTCTAAGTTCCAGACACACACATCCAAATATTTATTGATTATTTCCATTTGGATGCCTCATAGACATCTGAAGCTCAACATGTACAGTACTAAACTTAGTCTCTTTCCTGCCAACTTGATCCTCTGTCCTCTGGCTCAGATCTCAGCAAATGACACCTCGGGCCACTGAGTTGCCAGGAACTTAAGGAACTACCGTTAACTCTTTTCTATCCTTCTATTCTGATAGCCAGTCAGCTACTATATCATAAGTTTGTCAACATTGCACTCTCATTTCCACAGCTTGAGCACATGCCAACTTCATTTTGTGCTTGGGTTCTTGAGTTCTGGTCTCCGATTTCCAGTTTTACGTCTCTTCAAAGCATTTACCATACTGTATCCAGGGTGGTCATGTCAGTCTCCAACTTAAAACCTTTTAGTGCTTATTGCCATCAGGATAGACCTCGAGTAATCATATCTGTTGATTTTGCTCCAGCTTATTCCACCGGACTCATTTTCTCTACTCCCCATCTCTCTTTATGTGTCTCTGTGCCATTGGACCATTCATACTTCCTTGAATTTACTATATCCTGCTACCATGAGCATTTGTTTGTATATGCTGCCCCCTTGGTCTGAAACTTTCCTTCTCCAACTTTTTTTTAACTTGGCTAATCCTCATGTCTCCTTATGTCTCCATTTAGAGGTTTCTTCCACTTTTTCTGACTCCTCTATGTTGATTTTTTTTCTTTGTGCCACCATAGCACCTTGTAATAAGAATAATTAGGATAGCTGTTGTTAATAACATTTGAGCACTTTATGCCAGGATCTGTTTTAAGTGGGCTATGTATCTTTTTAAAAATATTTTATTTATTTATTTTATTTTAGAGAGAGAGCAAGAGGGAAAAAGAGAGTGACACTATGGGAAGAGGGGCAAGGAGAGGGAGAAAGAGAATCTTAAGCAAGCTCCACATCCAGTGCAGAGCCCTACTCAAGGCTTGATCTCATGACCTTGAGATCTTGACCTTAGCTGAAACCAAGTCAGATGCTTAACTGACTGAGCTACCCAGGCGGTCCATGGACTATATATTTTAATACCCCTAATACTCGCAACAACTTTATGAGGTAATTATTATTATTTCCTCAGATAAGTAACAGAAGATACAGAGAAATAATTTTCCCAAGTTTCTATAACTAGTAACATAAGTAGATTCTTAATTTAGGTATTTATTGAAGAATTTACAGACTTAAACATCACATATTTGTCTATGTGGAAACACTTTTAACACTGTGTCATAATCACCTGTGTGTACCTGAATTCCTACTTCAGCCCTAGGTTATTAGAAGGAAGCTGTATCCTCAGCACCCAACACAATCATGGCCACATAGTATGCTTTCAATAAATATTATTTGAATAAATAAAAGAACAAAGTGACCTGTGACTCAAAGAGGAAAGAGGCCTCCTCACCTAAAATCAGCTTTCCCTGACATAGCCTCAGTGTCTATATTGTCACCTTTAGTCCCAAGGATGCCAGGTGACTAATCACCCCATATATCATTATCTTCAAGAGTTTACATATCCTGTCCTATTCCCCTGATCTACCTTTGCCACTCTTGTCCAACTGCTAAAGTCCTATTCATCTTTCCAAATCCAGCTCAGAATTCACTTTATCACTGATCTTCCTTTTAGATTCTAGATTTTAGTTCTTCATACTTTATACATTTAAACATCACAAATAATGACAACAACATTAAATTAGACTATATATATTTTTTTACCATTGGTCTATTTTTCTACTCATCTTTGTATCCCAAGTACTTGAGAGTAGTGCCTAGTGCTCAGAAGGTGTTCAATAAGTATTTGATGGGTTGATTGAATGATATTAGGTTGGATTATGTCTCTGTAGATTACGAAGCAGACATCTTGAACTCAGTTACATTATGACAATTTAGTCAGTTCCGACACTGGCAAAGAATTAATTACTATTTGAGTTGTCCAATCTGGGCATATTGGGAGATATGAGAAGAAAGTCTTTTTTTTTTTTTTTAGGTTTTTTTTTTTAACTTTTATTTTTTTATGATAGTCACAGAGAGAGAGAGGCAGAGACACAGGCAGAGGGAGAAGCAGGCTCCATGCACCGGGAACCCGATGTGGGATTCGATCCCGGGTCTCCAGGATCGCGCCCTGGGCCAAAGGCAGGCGCCAAACCGCTGCGCCACCCAGGGATCCCGAGAAGAAAGTCTTAAAACACATTTTCCTGTTTTACTTCCCTGATTTGGTCAAGGGTTGAGCAAAGGAAACACTATTCAAAAGTCACTCACATTGTGCCCACCAGGATAGTTACCACACTTTTGGAAGGTTCTACTTTCATTTAGCTAAGATCTAAAAATGTCTATGAAACTGATAAAACGTCAAATCACCAATCCCAGCTTAGAAGAAGGAAGTGACTGTGACACTCCCACCTTGCCCCCATGTTATTTTTTCTGTTACTTCTATACTAGTCCCTTCTTTTGTACTCTACAGCTGGGATATTTATTTTAGTGATATTATATCTGACTTGTCTAACTACTCTATGTGATTATTTTTTTGTTGTTGTTGTTCCTTAAGCACACACAAATTTGCTGGACTAAGTTTCTTAAAGCCCTACTTTGATCAAGTCATTTCTCTGCAGCAGAACTTTCAGCAGTACCTGTCTATGGAATTAAGCAGGAGCTCTGAGCAGCCAGATGTCCTGCCTCAACTGATTTGTGTAAAAGCCAGACCCTATGGCTGATATCTAGCAAGTGCATTTGATGTTCCTTTTTGTTGTTGTTGTTCATTTGGTTCTCCAAAGTGAAATCAGGGGGATCCCTGGGTGGCTCAGTGGTTTAGTGCCTGCCTTTGGCCCAGGGCGCGATCCTGGAGTCCCGGGATCGAGTCCCACATCGGGCTCCCGGCATGGAGCCTGCTTCTCCCTCCTCCTGTATCTCTGCCTCTCTCTTTCTCTCTCTCTCTGTCTATCATGAATAAATAAATAAATAAATCTTAAAAAAAAAGTGAAATCAGGCAACTTGGCTGAAGGAAAGTTCCAGTGTGTGTCTTTTGCTATGATTAATATAGCTGAATTAGCAAGAGTATAAGCCACATGTTAAACAAACTCAAGGCTGTATGCACTGAACAAAGTATCTTCCCAGGGATCCCATATCCTACATGAAATAGGCACATTAAGAAATAGGCACATAATACACTTTGGGAAAGGTGAGTGGTATTCCAATTAATGACAATTTGTAGAGATCTTCAAAAGGACCAAAGTAACTTCACAGCTGAAAGCTAGCTGATTGTTTCTCAACTGAACTTTTAAGATGAGTATTCAGCCATGAGCATAATTAAACAAATCCACAAGACATGAGAAACGGATTACCCTTCAGATGCTGGGTCAGGCAAACCAGGTGGTCAAGAACACAGTGTTCTCTGTTTGAAAACCACGATTCAGTTGCTAGACTCTACTACCCCTTGGGCTGCTCTTTCATTCTATTTCTGGCCTTTGTCTCTTGCTCTGTCACACCAATGCCCTTTTTGGTTTAGATTTTATGTCCTCATCATCTAACACATCAAAGGATCAAAGAGTTCAAAGCGCCTCAGGCTGCCAGTATTTTATTTAGTTAGGAAAATCAACAAAAATGAAAAATTGTGCCCATTTTCCTCTTTGCAAAAAAACAAAATTCAAAATTAAGGTGATCTGTGCAGTTCAAAATAAAAACCAACCTCTTCACATACATATACCGTCTTACAAACTGCACCACTGAAGTTATTGAAACAATTTAAATATTGATAATTAAAATCCTCAAAATGTTGAAGCATTCTCAAATCCATCACTGCCACTTTGTTGTACAAATGGAACATTGGCAGCCTTTCTTTCAATCTTCAAAATAGCATTTTTTTAAACAAATTTGAACTTTTGATTCATTCAACAAACAATTATATCAAGCACCTACTATGTGTCAGACACTACACTGGGTGCTGAGCAAGCAAAATGGAATGAATTTCTGATTTCAGAAGAATTCTGGTCTCTAAAGCAGTGCTTCTCAAACTATTTTTTATTAATCTGTGCCCCTTTTTGATAAACATAAACATCCTTTTCCCACTTCCCAGAAATTCTGATGAATCTTTCTCATACTGAGAATCACTAATACACAGAACATAGACTCTATTTTCTGTGTATTCTTCACAGACCAAATAGCTTTGACCTTTCACTTTTTATTTCAAAAGCAACATACTTATTTTCCATACATAACACTGGATTGGACTTTCAAAGATACTTTTTTGAACCACATATGCTACCCTGTTGTCAATCCCAGAACTAACATTCAAATTCCTGTACCCAGTCCTATTGAGAATCACTGCTTTAAAGAGTTTTGGAGAAAACCAGCAACCTCCATCTCTCCCCTCCAATCAAATCTTAAAGGAATTAGAATTTTCCTACCTGACACAACAGCTGGTGGAGTATCATAATCCTGTCTTGGGACTGAATCTTTGAATGAAAAGAGCATGAGAAAGAATGCAATGAAGTACAAAAGAAAATAAAATAGACTCTTAGCTCTAAAAAGTGGAAGTGCCCACTATATGTCATATGGTTGCCTAAGCCCCCTGCCTTCAAACACTCAAGGCACTATGACCCCTAGTTTATAGTTGATACAATGGTCCCCAGTACTGCCACACGGTACATGTTGTTAGGTCCCCTGTGACTACTGGGGTACTACATTCTATTCTAGGATGCTTTCCTCTTCCTCAATCTGTCATCATTTTGGTTCCTCCATTGGGGAATCAATGTGAAATTTTCACCCTCTCTGGCTGACACAAATGTTCTAAAAGGCAGCCCATCTGGAAGGGGCCCAGAGCACAAAGTGAAATGAAATTCTGGAGAACAAAAGAAAGAACTAAAATTTTAAAAGAGATAAATGAAAAATTTGCATATTCCCACACTCTATGGAGACTGATATATTTTGAAACTAGAATTTCATTAGTAATCACTCAGCTCTGGCTCTGATCCCGGTGGCTGTTGGACAAGGCCAAGGAGCATTGTGTGCTGGAATTGTGAGAGCAGAGATAAATAGAACAGAATCAATTCAACAGATGATTGCTGTCTTTTCCCAAAGTGTCATAGCACTGGAAGTGGCAAATAATAGGGAAAGGTTAATTTAAACTACATGGCATCCATTTCAAAATTTTGGGTTATGTGAAACCAAATATATCTGCTTTTTTAAAGATGAAACTTTGGTTTAATACAATTCCTTTAGCCAAGGATCTTAAAAAATAAAGAAGGATAAGGCCCCCTCTTCTAAAAATGGTAAGTTCTAATCTAGCCCCAACTCCCCTTAAAGGGGTAAATTGTGTAAAAGGGACCAGATATTGCTCACATTCAAATAAACTGCCACAACATGATTAAATAGCTGCTCTTGTGTGACCCTTTTTTTTAGTCACATGACCATTATTTATTCAATTTTCAAAATTAAAACCTCAAACTTCATTTTCTCACCTCCTTGATGACTTAATTTGTATATCACAAATTTCTCCATTTAATCTCCTTGCCGCAAAAGGACGATGTTACTCCCTCTCTCATGAGCAAATAGCATGTAAGAAGACAGATTAAAACTTGGACACTTTGACCAGCAAACCCCAACATGGATCAGATTCAAATGCAAATAAACCTTGGACATGAGTTACTTTGTGTCTCAAAATAGATATGGAAAAATGAGTTGGTTATGATCCCCAGATCTAGAAAAAGTAGAATCATCTTTAAAGGGCCTTCAAATATTTTATTAATAGAGGTAGTATTTCCTATTACCTTTTAAAAAACTCTGATCACATATTACTACTACAAACCCTCCCCCCAAAAAAGTTGATGTTATGACTATGCTACTAGTCATTTCCCAAGAATATAGTGATAACATTTAAAAATAAATCACAAAAAATTAAATCATGCTCATTTTTGAATACTTGGAGAATGTAGGAAAGTTATAATGATTAAAATAGAAATTATCTCTAATGTCATCTCCTGGAAATAACCACCTTTATTTTGTATTTCTTACAGCCTTATTTCATAAATATTTTTTTCTTAGTTATACTGTATTTCCACATGTGCAAATTTATATCCTTCTCTTTTGATTTAATATTATAAATAATCCTTTTCCTATTTTAAACTCTTATAACTTCATGCTGCCTCATATTCTGGTTTGTGAATGGATGATGATTTATTTAATCATTCTTCTTTATTATACATTATAAAGATATAAAGAACATAGGGCTGGATATTTCTGAGGTCTAAAGGCTTTTCTGTTATTTTGAAATATTTCCATAGAATAGCTTCTCAAAACTATAATGCGTGGTGAGCTTGAAGCGTCTTGACTGCCCACCTTGCTATTCAGCTGACATCTTCACAAATTTAGATTTCTATCATCACACTATCAGTGATTGAGAATGTTTTCTTTCCTCACACCTTCATCAGCAATGTGTTTTATTTTGATAACTCCATTTAATGGGTTATGTGTCTATGTCCATGTGAGTATTTGATTAAGTTACAGTTTTTTTAATTACTATTTTTCATATGCCTTTTGGCATCCTGTTTCCTCCTTTATTACCTATCTGTTCGTGTTCTTTGGCATTTTATCTCTTGGGGATTTTGTACTTTGTTGCTAACGTATTTGAATTCAGATTCCATTTTTTTAAATAGTGAAAGCTTAATATTTTCAAATAAACTTTCATTATACTAGATTTTCAATTAATGCCTGCATATTTACTGTTTATAAGACTACTCTCAACGTTCATTTATCTTACACTAAGACTAAATAAATTTTTAAACTATTTCTTTTTATCTATATTTTGTTTCTTGTATTTGACCATTTTTAATTAATTGATACTTTTTCTTGAAAGTATACTCATTACCATTTATGAATTTATAACACTGGTTCCTAACCCTGAGTCCACTTAACATTATATGTTGCTTTTTATCTGTGCATCTTAATAGTTATATTCATAGCTAACACTTGAAGAAAGACAATCTCTAGGCAAAATGAATAATTCAGCATTTTCAGTTGATACCACCAGAATTTTACAGTGATAAAAATGGAATGGTGTGACTGAAAAATGTAGTGAACCACGGTGAACAAATGGACTACAATTAGAAGATTATCTTTGTGCGTGGCTGTGGTTACACCATGGGAATCCAATGATGTCACAAATCACCAGTGGATTGGAGAGCACAAACAGAACTGCAGATAAAAAGCCTGCAGAACAAAAACTTTTTATTTCTTTGAAAAGATTCTGGTGACATTGTAAGCCACTGGTGACCACCAACTGAACAAATGAAAAGGAGATAAGAAACTTGTAAAACAAGATTGTTATGCAATTTGGAGGTTCTCTAACACAGTAAAATCCCCAGTGGTTTCTGCTAAAGCTTACAATGGAGTGATAAGAAATTATGGATAACAGTGCTTTGGTTCTATAGAGGGAACCCTGCGACAAAAATATAAACAAAAGCAGAAAAACTAGGAAGTTCTTCAAGGTTGGCAGAGTCCTAGGATAGAAGTTACACTGCTTGCGCACAATTCATTTCTCCTAAGGCCTGCAGATTCTCTCCAGCTTAAAAATGGGCAAAGAATTCAACAATAGACATTTGAAGTGGCCAATGGTAAACAAAGGTTAATTAAACTACATGGTACCCATTTCATAATTTAGAGTTATGGTGGGGGGGGATAAACTATATCTAATTTTATGACAATTTAAAAAAGAGGCTTCGGCTTATACACTTTTTTATCCCAGGGATCTCAGAAGGAAAAGTGGGACATGACCTATGGCCTAAGGCCCCCTTTCTTGGAATGGAAAATTCTAACCTGGCTCCAACCCCCATCGACCCTGATCCTTGCCTACTTTGGATTATTCACTGGATCTCTCTCTCTCTGCTCTGCCCTCTGGACCTGTTTCTGGCATTAATGTTCCTGTCTTAATCTAGAGTTGTCACGCTCACACTTTGTCTTGCAGAGTTTCCATGAACTCAGACATCTGAAAGCCTCTGGCAAGTTACAGGTAGGAGAGAAACATGGTCAGATAATTTTAGATTGACTGCTTGTGGCAACATGGTAGAAAATGGGTTGGAGCAAACTAAAGGCAGATAGGAGACTATTACAATTAATTAAATGAGGCCCAGGGTAGAGACTCTAGAAATGTAGAGGAAGGGATATATTTGACAAATGTCTGTGGGACAGAACTGGTAGATCTTGAATAGTTGCATATGGAAGTGCTCTTTATGGTGGTGAGGGAAAAAGGAAAGAGTCTAGATTGAGTCTTATGTGTAGCATTTGACTTCCTGGGCAAATGGTCATGGAATTAGCTGGAGAAGAAATAAGGGGCAGAAACACATAAGAGGAAGAGTGTCAGTGGAAAAGAAGTTTGGGGAAACTCATGAGATTAGTTTGGATTGTACTGACTTTGAGATATCAAAAGGAGATTTACATGAAGCTATTTAGCAAGTTGTTGGTTAAATGGTTTTAGAAGTCTAAGATGAGGTTAACATTGAGGACTCGGATTTAGGGGTTTTCAGTATAGAAGGCAGAGTTTGAAATCATGAAAGTGGATGAACTTGCTTAAGGAAATCATGTATGAATGAGAAGTTAAAAATGAAACCCTGGCTCAGCAGCCTGTGAAAGAAAAGAAGAAGCAATGGTCAGAGACATCAGAGGAGAACCAGGAAAAACTCAGGCAGGAGTCACAACTGAGAGCACTTAGGACAAACTGGGTCTGATAACTCAAATACAGGGAGATTGCCCGTTAAAATGCAAATATTTAGTTTATCTTAAAAAACTGGAAGGTGGGGCCACCCTGGGTCACTATGTCTATGTAGCAATAGCTGTCTGAAGTGGAGCATGGGCTGTCCTCCCTAGACAAGGCATCTGTATTCCAGGCAGCCAAGGTACCCCTTCTTCCTATGATTGATTCATCCAACACTCAGACAGAGCTGTTGTTACTAGCATTGCATGAAAATATCTCTAATTTAAAATATAATCTCCACTATCTTGTGTATTTTTATTATGTGACTATGTTTGTGACATGAATAAATATAGGTGAAATTTGGTGCTATTTTTCCAGGGTTTCTCACTTGACCTTACTCAGTTTTATTCATTAATGTGACTTAGCTGGCTTCTCTGGACTTTTGGGTTTACAATCCCGAAAGAATTAGAAGCTAAGTAGAAACTTGAAAGAAATAAATTATGACAAATGAAACAGAGTGGGTTGGAGAGGTGTACTACAGTCTTGATAATGTTCTACATCCTTTCTGGCAACCTGGACTGGAGGGCCACATTATGAAGCCACTTGAGGTAGAGGCATAAAGGTGGCTCATTGGATAAGCATCTAGTGGGTATCATACGCTGTTTTAGGTATGTTACAAATATCATTCCATTTAACGCCACACCCAGGATGAACATATTATTTTCCCCCTTGGTAAAAGAGGAAATCAAAGTTCAGAGAGGTTAATAAGTAACTGTCTAACATATGTAGCTAATAAGGGCCAGAGCCCATCTTTGAACTAAAGTTTAATTTTAATGCCCACTGTTCTTTCCATACCAAGCCATCTTCCTAGCAATAGATAAAGCAATCTTTTCAGATGCAATAAGGTGGAGAAATTTGATTAAAGGAATCCATTTCAATTGCATAATAGCCACTACACATGCCAATCAAAAATTCAGATAAAAGGAATCCATGACGGCATATCAAAGTATAAGAGTGACAGTTTGAGAAAAAAAGTATATTCTGGACACCACTAAACATCAACAAAATAATAGCAATAGTGTTTTCTCTCTGGCTTTCCAGAACCTTATGGAATTTTAACCCTTGGCAAAATATCAATTTACACAAAGCTTATGATGTACCTAAGCATTATTTAGTATTAATGTGAGGTGGGAAAAGAATGAAAAAAAATTAAAAGAAATTTGGTGTTAAAAATAAGCCACCTGATTAAAACTAAGATAGGAGGGTGTATATATCATTACTGAGTAATTTGGCTATTACTAGCTGGGTAAAAATTATGATCTCATATAAATGTGTTCTTGTTGTAAATGCTCAAATACTACTCATAATATATGTTATTGAATCAGCAACTATTGTAATTCTGAATCTGTTCTATATATTTTAGCTTATTTTTCAATTAAGGATTGAAAGGATTCAGTCATATTATCAATTAGCTTAGCTCTTGTGTTTTTTTCTCGTTGGCAAATTTGAATTTCAGCAAGTCAGCTGATTATGCTTTTGATTCAAAGTAGGATTTATAAAGTGTTTCTATATTTTGTATTATAACTCACTCTTTTCTCAGATTCTAGATTAATACAGCAAGATTGCATTACTTCACTCGTTCAGAATTTATGATCTTTCAAGGAGAGGAAGACTGATACGAAGGGAAATCATGAGTGCAGACATGAGAAACTTCAGTTTCTCCCAATGAATTTGGGAATTGCTTTGTTAGGAAATGAGCAAAGTGACTACAAATGACTTACACATTCCTAAAATCTACCTCCCTGATGAAAATTAGCTGTTCCACAGTTTAGAGTTAAATGTAGTCTTAGACATGACTTGAAAGTCTAGGTCAGAAACCTAAGAAATTATTGGATCCAGCCCCCGCCTTCAGACAGGTAAGGTATCATCCACTGCTTTTTATAAGTTCAACAACTGAGGTCTTCAAGTAGGTACTTTGTTTACATTAATAAAATTACGTTTCTTTATTGAAAACGGGACTCTTTCCATTAGACATGTGGACTTTCTTCCTATTTAGAGCAGATTTTTGTGTCCTCGATGGGCATGTCAGAAACTTCTTGTATTCCAAAAAACCTATGAGTTGACACATCTATGTGGCAAGCCAGACATTGCTTTAGGGTAAAATTTCTGATTTGTAGCTAGTGTACAGTGTACATAGATATTTGGAGATGATGCCAGCATAACCGTGAAGAATCACAGAAGTGGCATCCATGAGACAGACATACAGGCTCAAAGTCATAGAGGTAGACAGCGAAGGGCCCTCATATAGCATCATGTTCAGTACTTAACCACATAGAGAGGGAAATTGAGACTGGAGATATTATTTTCCCAAAAACAGAGTGAAAGAACAGGGCTCAATCAAGATTTGAATTTAGTACTCCCAACTCCTAGTCCAGTGTTTTTCTATAATAATTAAGCTGCCTCACTCAGAGAAATTGTTTTTTAAAAAATTTCTACATCTTTAAAAATGACAAAATCATCTGCACTAACATTTGTAAAAAATAAAACCTGCTACCAATAGTGTCACATGAAATATTGGTTTTGATGTTTTTCACTGTTATCTATACTGATAATAAAATTGTAGTATTCCAGTTTGTATTAGACATTTGCCCTCTTAACCATCTGAGGAATTGTCTTTGAATAGATTTTTAAACATAAAATAAAATTGTGTTAGTGATGTCAAATGGTTGATATATATCAATGCTGTAATAAGCATTTTTTATATACTTTTGTCCCTAAGGAAAAATAATGGCTTGTCAAAAATATCCAAACCTATTACAAAACATCCAGTACATTAGAATCTTTCCTTTTTTCAACATCGTCTGTCTACATATTCAAAACAAAGATGAAAAGAACTGGATTATGTCAGGTTCTCAATTACTTTTTGTTGATTTAAACATTGAAAGTAAACAATAAGCTCTATGTATTAGTCATAGTCAAGATTGGACCCTGACTTGTGAATGACCTGGGAATGGTATATTAGCTGAAATGGGTAAGCATTTAGGAAAAGAAAACTAGGCTAAGATGTATTGTGTTACAAGTTTTAGATTTGTAGGTACATACATAAAGATATCTTTCCATAAGCAGACATGATACCTGGTACATTGTGTCATATGAACAAAAAGTAACTCAAATTTAAATGCAACACAGTGGAAACGTCAGCCTTGTCAATGTGAGTAAATGTGCCCCAATATTGAATATGCTGCATAATATGCACAATGCAGCTTATTCATACTGGAACCTGAAAGGTATATTAGTCAATGGCACAGGGCCAGTTTTGCTGACAATGCCAATAAAAATAGAGAGCATTGCATCTTATTGAAGAAGTCAAAGAAAGCGAAACAAACCAACTCTTCAACTCACCGTTCCTGTTGTACCCAATGAAAGATGATTCATCTGTTGTGTCAGGGGGCCCATCATGTTTGCTGGCTGCATTGACATAGGATGGTCCATTGTCGGCGTAATCACAGCACCCTAAAAGCACACACAATGTCCATCTGAAAACAGGTTCCACAAGGCAGGGAACATTTTTAAAAAAATAAACACAGTGAACCATCTTAACATCAAATGTGTTTATGTTTTAATGAAAAGGCTAAGCTAAATCATGTGTGAATTTTTACATCCACCCATGCCATTTTGTGTTTATCCAAATAGAGAGCATTAGCGACTTCCTTTTCCTCTGATGTGATTTATCTATCATGTGTCTAAAATGCTTATCATTTATAATTCCAATATTCAAAATAGAATGTATTCCAAGATATCATATATATCCTCTTTCATTGCTCTAAACACAAACTTCTCTAACTGAAAATTACTAATACTATGAAATTATCTAGTTTTTCTTAATATTGAATAAGACTTTTGGCTTATGTCTCTATCTATATGAATAATTATTGATCACCTCCATACAGTCTACCACGAGGGGAATAATGCTGGTCCAGATGAGTTTCTTGACTTGATATCTTTGAAGGACAGATTAAAATCTAATATAAATGCTATAAAAATCAGACTTACATTTTCCATGTTTCTTTCTGTCTAATCTTTTGACCTACTTTCTATCTGTGATTTTGAAACAAGAGAGAATGCTGAACTCTGTTAAATGGTAGTCAAATGCGACACTGCTAAAATAGTACCAAAAAAAAGTTAAGTTTTTCATTGGGTGTTAGGAAACACCTACTTATAGAATATGCTCTTTCATTTATTATAACTGTTGGGAAGGCAAACAGTAATAGATATTTATAAAGAAACTTATGTTCGTATACAAAGGTTCACATAGCCAGTTAAGCAAAGGGGAGGCCCTTCCTTTTCCTCTCTCCTACTTATTCTGCCTTAATTTACTAGCTAAGAGAATGGGACTTTTTTTTTTTTACTTTTTTTTTTTTAATTAAAAAGCTAGGGTTGGCTAGATTCCTTGAGATTATCAAAATTTTAATGCTTTATTGTAAAGATGATAGAAGCTCATGATATCACAACTCATTTAAATACCCGGTGGTAATAAAATGATGAGGTACATGAATGCTATTTTTTTCTGTGAACATTTTTCTCAGGGTGTGACTTTCTTTTTTTCATATAAGTGAACTCTGAAGAAATAAAACCAGAACAAATTCATGTAGATGGAAGGATCTCAATGCCGAAACTACCCATAAGCAACCGTTTCTTAGAATATTTTGCTCAGAATGATCAATTCCTCCTGCTATTATCCAAATATATTTCCTAACTGTATCTGTTAAAAAAAGGTCAGGCTCTTATTCATCCTTCCTTATGGGCTCGTCCTCATTTATATGGAGGGAGGATAGAAATTGAACCAAATATTTGGAAATGCTTGATTTTCAGAGCCAACATTGTTTGCAAGGATATTTGCACTTTTGAGCTAGAATCAACCAGAAAAAAAAAAATATATATATATATGTGTGATTTTAAATGTCTGTGGCTTATAAATATACATAGCTATGCATCTGTGTTGTTTTAATTTCTTGGTGTGTCCATGAACTGTCATTCATCAGTATACTTCTTGAATCAGAGACATGGTGAGATAAGCTTTTACTTAATTACAAGTCAGAGACACATCACTTTCTCTTCCTACTGCCTGAATTTCTTTGAACAAAACCATCTTAACTTTTTCCTTTAAAGAAAAAAAAAAAAACAAATAGCTCTGGCATTTATTGCTGGTATTTGTTTTGCCAGACCAACAATAAACACTTTAAAAAGAACTGGGTCCTTCTTAAAGCACGTAGGGATACACTATAGAAAAATCTCAGAGTTAAGCCGGAAGTCCTGAAGCATTTTTTTTTCAACCAAGAAATGGCACTTTCACAATATTCTAATCCTTAGCAGGTGCAAGACTTCAATACTGTTCCTGAACTTAAAATTTAGACTACCTTCTTAGACTATTGCCCCTAGAGATTCCAACAACTAAACTGTCACAATCCCGGAAAACCCCCGGTTATAATCAAGCTGCTCTAGCTACATAAAGGATTGCTCATCATAAATCAGAGATAATGGCCAAATTGTGTTGGTAGAAAAAACTTTCTTTTCAGTGCCCTAGAGGTGACCTCATTCTCTGGTGGTGCAAGAGGTATACTTTAGTCTTTGTTTGGCAGGCAATATGCAAATGAGATATGTGAGCATATGACAGATGAATCAAAATCCATGGATGATAAGAATAGAAGGATTGAATGCCTGCATTTGGAATTAATTTAGGAGGGATTGTTTGGTCTCTTTACAGAATCCTTTCTCAGAAAGTGTTTGGGGACTCATTTGATTACAGATGACACAGAGGGAGTGCTGCTTCTGTGGATAAACCAGAAACTGACAATCAAAGGAAAGAGTAGGAAGGAGTTTGTCATGATTTGGAATTATAAATAGCAGCAGTAGGCATAAAGTGGAAAACAATGAAGAGAAATATTCCTTTCTGTTAACCAGGCCACTTACTGCAAATAAATGAACAATAAAAAAGGATTCTTGGGGGAGGACATGCAAGAACACGCATTCTTGTTCACATTCAGTAAACATGCTCAATGAAGAAAGAATTCCCGCAAAGTATTAAGAACATAAATTCCTTAATAGTTTCAAGGGATGAAAGAAATTTACAATCAGTGAGTAAATTGGAAGTGGTAGACAGGAATCCCCTGCAGAGACACATCTTCTTGATGATACTTGATCAGGGACAGACAACTTAGAGAGTTGAAGTGCAGGTTATCTACAACAAAGACTGGTATTTGTCAGCCACTTTCCTCATCAAAGTTTACAGAATCTCCTCTGTGTTGTGTAGGACACTAAAAAAAAAAAAAAAAGAAAGATAAAAGGAAGGGGAAAAAAAGAAATAAAAAAGAACAAAAAAGGAAAAGAAGAACCTATGGTTCTTAAGGCAAAACCAGTGCCCCCAAACATAACTGTGCCTAATTAAATATACTGTCATATCCATTCCTATCCAATGCATTTAAGCCATAGATTGAAGAGTGTTTTGTGACAGATGTTGCCAACACATTAAGGGTAATTTCATTTACTCCAAATGTATAGAATGTGCTGTCTGACAAAGTTCACTTGGCAAATGGCAAAGCAAGAGGAAACAGATTTTTCATTTTAGCATCCCTGGATGTCTGGGTTTGTTCAATGTTTAAGCTGCAGAGAAAAATACTGTAACATGCTGTAATTCCACTAAAAAGCACAATGACCAAACAGCTGATGGGAAGGTCTGGTCTATTTTAGCCACTGCCCCTGTAAAAACAAAGCTGTTCACACTCAAGAGATGTGGGGCGGGTCTGGTCCCCCTAGTTCTGAAATAAACAATTTTAACAGTAATTTGGACAAAGTTTCCAAAGATCATTGATGTAAACATATCTGAACGGAGGCCAAAAAAGCATCTGTGTTGTTAACCTTCTGCTGATATTTTAAAGTAATTTTAAGTCTTGGAGAGTTCATCAGTATTTTAATTTCCCAACTGAAATACAGGATCATTGGCCAATCAGGGAAAACATGTGCAAGCTCTCTCCCATCAAGAGCATACCTAGTGAGCTTAAAACCTATATTAAGGCCAGGGAATACACTACAATGAGAAGAATTACCTATATGAATATTCCTGGGAGTGTTAGTGTTCTAAACCAGTGCTACTTCAGGTGTGATCTGTACACTAGCCGCAGTGGCAGAACAGAACTGGAATTAGAATCTCTGAGCTTTGGGTCTTGAAATCTGTGTTTCCGTAAGTTCTCCAGTTGATTCTGGGGTCCCCTGAAATGTGATAAGAGTGCTCTTGCCTAAAAACTGCTATTGTAGAGGTCAATGTCATAGATACAATGTCTTATATACAAACACTTGGTTTTATTTATATTCATACTGTTTCCCAATTATTTGTTTTAAATCAGGCTTGTGATAGGGCATGATTATAGCAACAATCACATTAAATGTTGTTTAAAAATGCAGAAAGGTCAAGCTTGCATTTTTGATCAACTGAAATGGGGCGATTGTCTGAATAGTTCAGGCCTAAACCTGATGACCTGACATGCATCCATTTGACCAGTGTGGCTTATGCTGTAGCATATTGAGAATCCCTCCTATTTGGAAACTTGAGTGTGAAAATCATAAGAAGGTAAAGGTAAGAAAATGATTTGGTAATATAAGTGGGAAAAAAAGGAATATTACTCTCCTTTTTCCCTTTCTCATATCTAGATGTCTCAGGTCAAAATGTTTGTAGCCCATTCTATACTCTTTGCCTACAGTGACTTATGAAAAACTATAAAAAAACTATAGGACTTTTTCATAGTAATTATTCAACACAACTTTAGAAAACCATGATTTAAGGTCATTTATCTTCAACTCATCTGTATGTTTTCTGCTTCTCTGTCAGTTTTTAATATTTCTAGAATAAATATCTAGTTGAGTTTGTGTACACCAGCCTATTTTTAGCACATGTAAAATAAGGGGCAGAGAATGATATGAGTTCACGAGGAAACTAGTGTAAATTATTTTCCCATCACAACAATGATTTTGTAATAGAAATGGCATAAAGGTGTATCATTTAACTAGGAACTGCTACCCAAATGCAATGTCCTGCAATGTTAGTGTGCAATATTCCTTGTAGCATATGTAGACATGTTTAATTTTTTTCATCTTTTGATGTTGGCATGCTTTTTGTTGTTGTTTCTTTTTTTCTTTTCTTCTTTTCTCTTTTCTTTTCTTTTCTTTCTTTTCTTCTCTTTTCTTTTCTTTTCTTTTCTTGGCAGGTGCTTGGAATGGTTTAAGAAAGGCTGACATGGGGAGAACAAATGGGAGTAGGAGAGGTCTCTCTCCTTAGAAACACTCATTAATCCTCAACTATCTTAATACATTTTGGCCAACCGAGAGGGGTCAGTTTGACTTTTTAAACAATTATGTTTAAAACCCTAAAAAGCTGTGAAAGCATTTGTGGATGACCTATGACAAATACTGGAGGTAGGGAAGCATAATACCCTCTAGTTCCACTCATGTCATCGCAAATG